CAGCGGCCCCGGCCCCGGCCGGGTCGGGCCGGTTCGGGCCGGTCTGGGCGACGCGCTGCGCCCGCGTCAGCAGCGGTGAAAACGCTTAGAAAGTCGTGCGGGGGCTGCGGTGCTTGAAAACATAAAAGTGAATTAAAGAAAAAAATAATACTGAGTAGGATTAAAACGCACGCTGGGCATAAATGGTTCTCGGAGAGCGCTTCCCAGTCGGTGCGCGTTGTAAGCATGGGGTTGTCTCGGTGCGATTTGAAAGCAAATAGGTGACACCACCTATTACATGATCTCGCACGGTGCAGTAATTTGGGGTATGGCAGCAGGATCTGAGGGAAACAGGCCTCGGCGTTTTTCACCCTTTCCCCAGCAGAGCTGTGGTGAGGGAAGAGCAGGCTGGGGGAAGGAAAGGTGCCCATGTTGCAAATGCCTTTGAAGTGCCAGTGTGGGTCATCGGTCATTAAACTGTACAGAAGAGCATTAATCCTGCAGGAAATTATTTGCGTGTGCCGCTTGTGGGCAGGGAGGAACGGTATTTGCCAAGTTACTTGCTGTAACAGGCGGGCAGGATTATTGCCTTCCTCGGGTGACTTTCCGAGTAATCCCCCCATTTGTCTAAATGCGCAAGTTGTGTTTGATAGGCTCTAGGGGGATAGTCCAGTTAATACTTAGAAAAAGTTGGTGGTAGACGCATTTTTATGTTAATTTATGTGAAAAGTAGTAGCGAAACAACTTGTAAATCTCGAGTTGTTTCTTTGCTATATCTGTATATCTGTAAAGGTATAGCAAAGCTAAAAAGGTGGTTTGGATTGTTACATGCTTGTTAAATGACTGCAGTTCTGGTTAAAGGACTATTAAATATCGTCTAGATGTGGTATTCCTTAATTTCCAGAGAAACTAATTCTGTAGAACATTTATTAAATAAGGATGCTGGGATTTGACCTTCAGGGTACTATAACTTCACAGAGGTCAGAATTTAAAAGTGTAAAAATGCTTGTCTGCCAACAAGGTCCAAGCTTTGACGTTTTGTAGGATTTGCTTGCTTTTTCTTGTGGAAATGATCTCATATTACACAGAAATACCTGCACTTGCTGAAGTGCCTCGCACCAAATGCCTAAATAGACATGAGCTGAGGCAGCAGCAAGGATTGCGTGGTGCCTCTTAGTCACGATAATATTTAGGTCATCCCTGTGTTTTTCAGCTTTGCAGCACAGAAAGGTTCTGTGCAGCTACTGCAAAGATCTTTAAGATCCTTTTCATCATGTATGCAAAGTGTCCTGGGCTCTGTAGCTGCTGCCTTACATCAATGACAAGGTTTTCAACTTGCTGTGCCTATAAATTTAGGAAAGTATCACTGTTGGCAATAGCTTCTCCTTTCCTAGTCTGCTACTTTAGAGATTAACTAAGCACAGTACAGTGCCTTCACCCATGACAAGTTTCTCTGCTGAGTTACTGGTGACCTTAAAAGCTGGCAAGGTTCTCTCTTGTGCTTCTATGACTTAGTATCTTTTTTTTATAACATCATTGGTTTCAATCTTGACCTTCCCCATCTCATTTAGGGAGGAGTGATACAGTAATCTCTGTTGTGAAATTCTGGTCTCAAAGCAAACCTCCACGTTTTTAATCTGCTTCCCCCAATCATTGCTTCTCATCAGTCTTCCTTCCCACTATTGCAGATTCTCCTCCTTGGCTTTTTCTTTGAAGATGAAAAAATCAGTAATTTTTTTTCAGACCTTTAGTGATGCAGCAGCGTTACCATGCAGGAAAGCTTCCAGGTGACAGTGTGGGCCGTGACACGTGTGTAGATACACCTCGCATTTCTAGTTATGCTAGTCCATGACATGCACTACACAACCGTGGACATAGCCACATATCTTCTTAATTCTGTTGCATAAAGAGTATTGAGCAGGGTTTGGCATATGGTCTGATGATGGTTTAATGAAATAAAAATCGACATGTCTGGAAGGCCAAAACAGTTTCAGAAGAGTTCCAAAATTCAGGAAAAAGCTAATAGAAGGGATATTCAGCAAGACAAAAAAAAAAAAAAACAGACTTTGCAGAACAATGAATATATTCAAAATAGAAATAGCACTTAACAGCTCTTGTGTTATCCCCTGTTCCCTGCCTCCTTCGAGGACTTGTGTTTTGTGAGTGAAGCTGTCGTATACTTTAAGGAAGCAACAAGAGCCATGTTCTGGCACAGCGGCCCATGCAGGATGTGCATCCCTGTGCTCAGGGGACCTGAGCAAAAATCGCTGAGGTCACTGGGCGTTTTTTTTTTCTTTCTTTTTAAAGGCAGAGGTTTGGACAAGCAGTAGTAAAGAGACAGCACTGCTGGAGCTTGCAAGAGTGTTGCAAGCAAAGTAAGTGAGGAATACTTTGCTGAAAGGGTAGCAGGAGGTTCATGCTGGTAGCAAATATAAAACAGATCTTGAGGGGGCTAGAGAGGGGGGTGGAAGATTGACAAATACAAATTTACTTGCCATACCAAAATAGGCTTTCTCAGAGGAAAAAAAAAAGAAAAACACATACTTTAATTCACTTTCAACTTAAAAATGTCTTCATCTTGCTGCAAAACCCATGAAGTAAAGATGAAAAATAGGATGACCTGGAGGCCCGTGAATCATGTGCTTAAATCCTGCTCCTGAATGGTGGTGGGCCTTTGCCGTGAACTCCCTAAATTGTGCTCTTACGCTGAAATGATGCCAGAGCATCTGTCTGGCTCTTTCTTGGGAAATTCCAGCCTCTCTCGTTCTGGAAGGCTAGTCAGGGTAGTGGGGTGGGAAATGAAAATATGCATAAACATTTACAGTTCTGAGCTCTAAGTTCAATGTCATTTCTATCAAATGGCATGCTGTAAAAGCCTGCAGGACGGAGAGATAAAGGAACTGTTTTTTATAGAGTGTTATTCCCGTAATTTCAGCGCTCCGTAAAGTCACTCCCCTCTCCTTTTCGCTGACAGATGTGGTTTATCAGGGGTCAGGAAACCTCCAGCCATGTATTCCATGCGTGTCGGTGTTTGGAACAGGGGCAAGGACCGGCAGTGCGACTGATCCGTTGAGCTGCTCAAAAAGGAGGCTAACGTTTTGTGGCTGGTAGGAAGACAAGTACTCCTGAGGCCTTAAAGCACACTCGTAGCTGCCTAGCTTTACATCAGGGGGCAGTGGGTCCAAATCCCACTGCACTTGCGGGTTTTGTGCCTCCCTAGGTTAGCGGCACAGGCACAAACAGCTCCAAAGGTCTTACCCAGAGAGGAAAGGAGCAGGCGCAGCCTGGTTCTGGCAGCACAGCAGTGTTGTAGGTTGTAGGGTTGGGTGCTTGAGTCACGCTGGGCTTGGTCTTCACCTGTCCCTGAGGAAGTTTCCCTTAAGTTTTGGTTTACAGCTATTACTTGGGACACTGTACCTAGAAGAAGCGTGTGGCTTTGCTAGGTCATCAGGTTTTGTGTGTTGAAATCCAAAATGGTGTTGATGTTTCTTGCAAGTGAACCACTTCCCCGTTTGTCTTGGCTGGCTGTAATCTAGTTCACTGAAAGCTTGTTCCACTGCAGTACTTACACAACTACTTTTCTTTCATTTGCTAGCATCAGTAGAAGTACCGTGTTGTTGTTCTTAAAAAATAAGGAAGGATATGGTGAGTGAGTGAAATGCACATGTGGAAGATTTCATACATGAGGAAAGAAGCATCCAGGTCAACAGTGTCTGAGCAACCCAGGGCTTCTTTGAAAGAAAAGCCACTAAAGGTGAATATTAGACACCTGGGTGTTTGTGCATGACTTGAAATTCAAACCCAGTATTTTTGAGGGGAAAAGAAAAAAAAAAACTTGCAATGTTAGGGAAATCTGATGGACATGTTCTGATTTCAGTGAAATTGTAATTTGAGTTTGCTTTTGAGACTGCTCATGAATCCCCTTATCATGAGACTTGTCCAGTCAGCTCCTCTTTGTGCTTTTGATACTGAAAGCTTGAAGGATGGTGGCCCGCCTGCTTCTCTTGCTTTCTTCTGTGAGTGATTTGTGGCAGATGGAGCTGCTGAGACTATGACAGGCATTTTATGCTGTTTGACTGCTGGAGGTGGCCCTCCCACTCTTACATTTTCTTAGTATATAACATGGCATTTGTCAGGAGGCTTCCTGTGGGTGCATATGGCAAGTGTGTCCAGCAAAAGGCTTCTCAAATGAAGAAGAGAAACTTGAAGGTGGGGAACAGGCTCTGACATAGGCTAGTGCAGAGTTGCCTGCAAGAAAAATGGAGGGAAAACAAACAAACAAACAAAAAACCAAAAAGAGCAATTTTATGAGATTTTAGTCTGGAGAGGCAAATAAAAGTTGCAAGCACTGTGACCTCATGGCGCAACGGTAGCGCGTCTGACTCCAGATCAGAAGGTTGTGTGTTCAAATCACACTGGGGTCAGAATGTTTTTCTGCTGTGGCTCCTTCTTCTTTTGGGGTTCAACCCTGCGTGGCTCTTGATGGCGATGCTCAGATGCTCAGAAGCCGGGGAGGCCCCTGAGGTAAATGGTTATCCTATAATCCTGCTGAGAGAAGGATTATTGTGTAGTGTGCTCAGAGACTGATGTGCACCTCACCTGCAGTGTATGGTTTGGCCTGTGCCTAGCAGGGACTTCACATGCTCTCGTTTCCGTGCAGCAGCATGTGTTGAATGTCAAATAAAAATATTAGAGCTTTTTTTTTATCCTTTCAAATCCAGAAACTGTGGACAGAGCAGAAGACTTGCAACAATCTGCTATCTAAAGAAGTAGTTAAAGCCTCAGTCTTGAAACTCGTCAGACGCTGTGGTTGATTCCCTTGTCCCGCTGACCCTGTTTCTCCAAGGAGAACGGCTGTATGGATCCAGTTGTAGCAATGGCCTCTTCCATTGCATTCCTTGGTATTCCTTGGTATTTCTAACTGTTCAGCTCTATGCAACTAAGTAGAGCAATTCTGTGCTCTGTGAGGAAAGGTGGGTGCTAATGTACGAGTCACTTCATCCATGTAGATAGGATGTCTTTGTGATAGTACGCAAAAATAGTATTTGAAAAATGCACTGTGCAATAATGTGGAGATTTGTGTGCTGCAGAACACACAGTGTCTGCTAGTGTGCTGTGAAACATGAAACATGCGCAGGTGACAGAGGCAGCAGCCTCTGGTCTCTAAAGCACTGCCACACAGAATGTAAGCAGAAGCCTGAAGAGGCTGTAGTGCAATGATTTCTTTGTATTTTTAATTTCATAGAATCATAGAATCATAGAATGCTTAAGGTTGGAAGGGACCTCTAGAGGTCATCTAGACCAACCCCCCTGCACACGCAGGGTCACCTAGAGCACGTGGCACAGGACTGCGTCCAAGCGGGTTTGGAAGATCTCCAGAGAAGGAGACTCTACAACCTCTCTGGGCAGCCTGTTCCAGTGCTCTGTCACCCTCGCTGTTAAGAAATTTTTTCCTTAAAGTTCCTGTGGAACTTTTGATGCTTCAGTTTCCGGCCTTTCAGTTTCATATCCTTTTCTTTCAAGACTCATGATCGACACATACAGGTTTTGATAACACCACATGAAGTAACACACCACTGCGTCGCAGGAAAACCCGTTTGACGAGCAGCAAGAGCCGAAACAGGGAAGAGGGCAACATATCCACGGAAACATTACAGAGCGCCCCAGGAGCAAACCAGGACGATGCAGGTGTGCGCCCTATGGTAGGTTAGGTG